GGTTCTGGTGTATTTGGGGTGTTCGTGTCTAGCTCAGGGCAAATGAGAAGCTCACTGAAGACACATGTACCATCGGGAAGACTCACTCAAATCCCCGGGGTATAGTCCCCGACCAGCAGCATCGGCATCACTTGGGCCTTATTAGAATCTAAATTCTCAGACCTCACCCCAGACCTACCGAGGCAGACCCGTAATTCGGATGCTCGTTCAGGTGTGTGAGATGTCACCCTCTACTATAGGTCACAATACGTCTCTAGCTCTAAGTGCAAGCTGGGAATAGAGGTGGGATCGTCAAATGCAAATCCTTATGGCGCTCTGGGGGCCCCGTGACCTCGAACTACCTAACAGTGCACACCTCTCCTCTCTACTCACTGGGGGCGCACAGAGATTGGTATCTATAGTTGCATTGAGCGAGATTGCAGGGGGCAGAGGGTGGGGTGAGGGAGTGGATGTATTTTAGGGCCTGCCTTCTTTTTCCTGATTGGCTGTGTGAGATTAGACAAATGACATAACCTCTCTGAACTTCACTTCTCACGCGTGGGTTAAAACACAAGGCTGATTTCTCCAGCTCTTCTCCAGCTCTGAAGTACTCTAACTTTGTACGGATCTCCTAGTTTAGTAATAAGGGAAGAGGCTGGAGGGAAAAGTTAGGCTACCAAAGTTTATATACCATTAGGCAATATATAAACATATATATGTGTGTGTATATATCTGATATATATTCTAATATATAAGAGAGTGGCATAGATATCATATGCCGTATTTTATATTGTGATATACACGATGGGATAGCGCTGCCCAACGTTAAATTAGCCAGCAGACAGATAGGTTTGCAGTTAAGAAGATTTATTTCATTACCTAGGAGTTGCTTTAAGGAAGGATCACATTCACATTCAGTAGGATTACTTTCCTGTCCTCGGGACTTTAATGACCTGGAGTTGAGACTGTTGTACCAGGAAGAAATGAGCTGTTCTCTGCACACATCAGTTTCCCAAGGCGGTAGCAAATTAAGGGTTGCGGGGGGGGGGGGTGGACAATCCATGTTTTTTTAATCCAGATCTTTGTTGTTAGTATCAGATTGATTGGCAGGCATCTTTTGGAATACACGTATGCTTTTACGAAGAATCACAATGTTAAGGATGTTAAGCTACAAATGGAGATGGACACACACACGCACACACGCAGGTATCTTCTTGGTATTGTCGTTTTGCATACGTTTTCCTCAACTGCGCATCATGACCATGCTTTTAGTCTACACCTCCCTACGTTTTCTGCTGAGAATCTATCAAGACAAGTCGTAAGCCCGTACCAGAAACATGGACTAACAAACCGCCGTAAAATTATTCTCTCTGGCCAGAATTTTCCAGGGAAAGGTGACAATTTAGCCATACCTCCTTTCTCTGATAGAGGAGCATACGGCATATTTCACAGTTCAGCAGTGAGTGGTTTTTTGAAAAAGACAGTTCAGCTATGGATGAGATATGCATACCTCCTCAGTCTAGTTTTTATAGCAGAAAATTGAAAGCTGGCCTCATTATCCATCACAGATATCATAACATTTAGGGATGCCTTGTGGGCAGCCAGCCCAGCAAACTACGGGACATATGTCTTTGGAATTGAAGAAGTAAAATTTAACAGATGGGATTAATTTCTTTTTCTTCTTTTTTTTTTCCTTTCGGTTTTTTTATGACTCTGCATTTATAATAAAATCCTAAGCGAAGACTTTTCTCAAAATGTGGGAGTGGTAGTAGAGAAACACAATTTAGCATCGTTTTCAACTCTGGTCAAGATTCATTAAGATGTCCTAGTATGAAGTCTCTTGGTAGCCACTATTTTAAGGACCACTGTGTCAACATTCTCAGTTGGCTTCCAGCGTGTTCAGAAAGCCAGGCTGCCGACACGCAAACGTTTAGGGCTGCATTGTAAGTCTACTAGATTTGATCCAGCGTTGAATTCCCTGCTGCCCTCTGAAGCCCAGTGCTCAGCAAGAAGGAAGAAAAGTGAGTTTGATAGTGGACATTTCCCATACTCCTGTATTTAAAATCTAGGGGGCAAATTGACATTTTAATTGCACACAGATACAGGAAACCGGAGACATAAAGCATTCATTTTCCCCCAGCTTGAAAGTTTATATCGGAAGCTTCTGTATTTCGTACAAAATATTGCTCTTTGGCCCATGAAATCTGATGGCCTCAGAAAAGAAGAATGAGGTGTTCTTTTGATCTAGCTTATAAATGCATCCGAACCACACCTTTAATATGATAATGCTTTTTATTCCCCACCTCACCCCCCCCCCCCCCCGTGCCTGGGTGTTACAGCCGGGTTCCAGCACCTCGGTGAGGAAGGGGTTCAAGATTCCCTGCAGAGACAATAACACTCTTACTTACTGCCAGGATCACATGTGGGGAGGGTGTGGAGTGCATGCTTCCCCCGCTCCTCCAAGCATTCAACTCAGCCTCCCGACTCCCAGGGCTTAGGAAATAGCTCAGAGTGAAGAATTGTTTTCTCTGAAAGTTATGCCTGAACATTCCTGCTAAAGCAGGCAGTCATCAGCTAATCTCTGTAAATGACTACGATTTTGGCAGGTGTCAGCTGGTACAGAAATTGCTCACATGTTAAAACATTTTTTTTTAAAACATGTGAGCAACGAGAGGAGACTAATACAAATAAATTAATAATAATAATCGCACGTTGTGCCCGGCCACGGTAGTGGCTTACCTAAAATGACTTAACTCTCGCTCCATTTTTTTGGTGGCACGGGGTCCCCGATCTTGGTGGCCGAGACAGACACAATTGGCAGCCTTTCCTCAAAGCCCGACCGTAGACCTGAAAATGCCGAGTGTTTGCATTTAGAATGACCTCACACACATCATTCTCCTGGATCACCCACTGTCCTTGACACGGTGTTCTTTAAAAATGCCACTGGGTGCCCAAGGAATGTGAAGTTTTGAAATGGGTACAAAACCTGCTGGAAGCCTCTGCACCATTACTTCGCCAGCCGGCATTCTTTCTGGGGCAAGTAGAAGCCTCCAGAATCATTTTTCCTGCCTTCTTCTCCGCTCAACTCCTAATACCAGCCATTAGGTCGTGCGAGGCATTTAAAAGGCTGAATTGCCATGCCTTGCGTGGCTTTTGCGTTGGAATTGTTTGTGCTGCAAGAATACCAGATTTTTCAGCCTAAGTCATCAGAAAGCTAAGAATCTGCCACCAAGATAAGAGGAAGGAGGATTCCAGAGGCACCACGGTTACACCATGATCGACTGAAATAGAATGTTCTAGAAAAAGACAGTTTCCCACTTCTGAGGGAAAGGGGTGACAGGGGTTGTTCCAGGACCTGGCCCTATGGCCTTTCGCCCACGAGGCCGGTGCTTAAAATACTCAGTCGGTAAGAGGCCTCTCACTTGTGTGCTGGCCCTGTGTGACTCAGGCTGTTTGTGTTTAGGTCGAGTGTTGTGGGCTGCAGGGCTGAATCAGAGTCTAGATTTGCCTTGGTGACACATGAAAAGAGGGAGCATTGCATTTGAACTACACAAATACTATGCTTAAGTCGTTCTCTTCATTTCGGAGCCGACCAGGTCTTGTTCATGATAAAAATCACTGCAATATAGTGGGTCCTTTTTTTTGGTGTGGAATTTGAGACAGTGTCAACTGTGCCAAGGGGCCTGGCAGCGGGAAGAAACGGCAAGCCACGGAGATTTGGAACCATAATATAAGTTATAAAATTTAATTTTGTAATTGTAGCGACTGGGAGCTGGGCTGCAATCTACTTCTCCCACCCCGGGCTGGCGGGGAGTGGAGTCCAGGGATCCTCTTTCTAACTGAGGTCTGGGGCAGGGCATGTGAAAGGGCCCTTGATGGTGGCAACAGGCAGGCTGCTCCTCCAATGTTGTTTGGAGGCCACCTGACTGACGATGGGGGGTGGGAGGGGGCGCGGGACGGGTGTGTGAAATTGGTCAATGAGCCTTTATTCGAACCACAGAGGTGAGGAAGGAGCAGGGGCCTATCCTCTGAGGATGGTGGCTCTATCCGTACATCCTGAGCCTGGGTTCTGCTTGGCAGGCCTTGAGTCTCCAGTTTAAAGCCATCTTGTTGGGGGGATAAAGGGAGCAAACAGGAGGCCCAGCCCTCCCGGCCTGTCCCATGGGACTGGCCTCTGCTCACTGCAGGGGGAACACGGCAAGGATACTTACTGTCTATACGGACAGCTGAGTGGCCCAACTGTCCACCCTGGATTGCTGAGCCCCTGGGGGAAGCTCATCCAGTCTGCTGGCACAACCTCTAGGTTCCAGATGAGGCCCTGGCTACACCTTCCTGTCAACCCCCTCCTAGAGGGTACACGGGGGGCGGGAAGCGGGCTTCGGGGAAGAATGCTGAAGGATGCTCGTGAAAAGCTTTCGAGGAGAGGGAGCGAAGAGGGGCCGAGGGGCTGCCCATGCCCTGCATCTAGTCCCCCAGGACTGTGGGTTTGCAGCCACACCTCATTTCCTGTTGGACGGGGCGTGCGCTAAGCCGGGCGGCCCACTTTGCTGCCCGTGGCCGGGTCTGCAGTGAGGAGCGGCTGTTCTGATGCCACAGGGAGGGCACCTTTCCTGGCTGCCCTAGCTCAGCCCGCAGTGCGTGGCCAAGTGCCAACAATTAATGCACCTTCCCTCACTCCCGACCTTACACCACCACGATCCCCGTATACCCGCTGCATTCTTGCCCCGCGGGGACGGGCGCAGAGGCTTGGGGAGATGGGGCGCAGGCTGGGGCAGCACCCCGTGGCCTGTGATGAAAGGGAGCCCCGGCTGCTGTGGGGTCAGTGGCCCTGGATCTCCCCTGGGAGCCAGCCACGTGCACCAATCTCCAGCAAATCCACGTTGGGGGTGAGGGGGCAGGGAGGGGCAAGACAAGAGAACCCCGACTTTTAGCAAATCCACAATACATTTTCTGATCTTTTCCCTCCCTCCTTCCTTGCCTCCCTCTCCCCTTCCCACCCCCCACCCCCCTCCCCACAATAGGACATCGTCAGAAACTAGATGATCAGACCAAGCCCGGGAGCTTGTCCTTTTCTGAGCGGCTCAGTGAACTGGAGCAGCTGCGGCGAACAGCCATGAGGGTCAGCCCACACCACCCAGCCCCCACACCCAACCCTCGGGCCTCCTTGAACCACTCCACTGCCTTTAACCCTCAGCCTCAGAGTCAGATGCAGGGTAAGTACCTGGAGGGAGCCCGCTTCCCGCCTCGCCCTCGGGCCACACCCCCCAGACCCATCCTGGCTTCTGCTCCTTGCTCAACGGGTGGTCCTCGGCCCAGCAGCCTGGGGGAGCTGGTTAGACAGCAGAGTCTCTGGCCCGCCCCAGACCTACTGAGTCAGATCTGCACCGTAATGAGATCCCCAGATCGAGAGGCACTGGCACCTAGGATATGGAGAGATAGATATCTATGTGTAGATAATATCTTGAATTTTTTGAGTTATCTTTGGCTATGCTGTTTTCCTACCTACCCATGAGGCTTGAACACACACACACACCAAGCAAGGTGAAAGTCAGGACATTTCAAGTTCTTATTGCCTTCAATTATTTGTGGGGTTTGTATCTATATGTTTTTTTTTTAAATATAAAGAAATACTACGATAGCCTGGATGCCATCACATCAAAGGTATTAGTTACAATAAATAAATTTGCAATCAATAAAGAATGCAGGTGGGCCCCCCCTCCCGATACCCACATACCTGGGTTTAGCCAGCAATTGCAAAAACAGGGTAAAATGCAATAATTGCATAAAACATGCTGTGCCAAATGAGAGAAGACGCACAGTTCATTTGCACCATAGAAGCCACTCTTGTCTATGATGATTTGCTCTGCGATACCATTTCGAATTTCTGAAATCCAGTTGTTTTCTCTGTGCTGGGCAGGACGCAGCTGCGTACGATATGGTCACAGTGAGATTCTCCAAGCAGCGGGCTTGTCTAACTCAAAGGGAGAGATAAGCAACACATCTGGGGGAGAGGGCAGGTGGCCAGCCAGGGACATGCTACTTGCCCTCTGGGACCGCAGAAATTAGCTTCCCCAGGCGATTTCTCTGTGCGGGTCCTATCGTGGGACATGTCCCGGTCCTGAGTTCTCTAAGGTTTTGGGACCAGTCGCTCGCTTTGGGGGTTAGCATATGCTTTTGGGGGGCTCTGGAAAGGCAAGCAAGCACCCTTGCACAGAGTTTGATGGCTCATGCCTTGAGCTCTCCTAGTTCTGCGTCTGGGGGAGGTTCAGTTATTTGAATGGAAAGTTTCCAGACAAGACTTCCTGTCAGATAGCAGGCACACAGCTGCTAAGTGGTCCATCTGAAGGGTGGCCCCTTTGTCCCCAGAAACGTAAAGCTTGATTTGGGCGGGTTAGCTCTCATCTGCAGATGCATCTTCGGCGTATTTAGGGAAAGGCCTCCTTGAGATCATCAGTTTTGTGGTGCTTATCATGAATACTTGTTCGAGACATGCATATTGATTTTTTTTTTAATGCCAGAATGCAAGCGTGTACGGTAAATCCGATCGAATGGCACGTTAAGTGAGAGGGATGAGTGAGGAGTGAAATGGTCCTTTCCTTCCGAACAGAACAAATTCTAGAAGGCGATCCCCTGATCCTGTGTGCGGGGCCACTGAAATTAATTTATGCCATCCTCAGACCTCCATTCGTAACATCAGAGGGAAGACTCCTGTTTTCTTATGGTCTCAGCCCATAACTGACAATTTATCCTACTGGGCTGAGAAAGGGTTTTTCCTCTCGCTCTGCTGGTATTGGAACCCAAACTATTAAGCATCTTTAAAAGCAAGGGAAGATGCAGGGTGGCAAGTTGCAATGGTCACCCTTTAAGTTGGCTTCGTGGTGGACAGTTTTGGTGAGGAATGAATCAGATCTGATTTGCCTCCTGGTCAGATAGGCTCTTTTTCCCCAAAAGAAGAGGGGGAGGGTGGTAAGTGAATTCTTGTCCTGGGCCGCCAGCAGCTCTCGGGTGGAGACATTACCAAGGCCGGACGGGCATTCTTCGGCTCTTTGGAATACTGTATGCTTAGCAGAGTATCAGGTTTAACACAGAGCCTCTCCCCTTTCTTGTTCCTTTTAAAAACTTTTTACTTCTGCAACATGTAAGTAATAATAACTTGCTTTTAGAGTGCCCTAGAGGTTTGGTTGCTACTCTAAAGAATGTGTTAACTATATTGCTGAAGCTCTTTCTTTCCAAAATATGATTTGCTCTTCAGTCCTTCACTTGTAAAATTGGAGGAACTTTTTAAAAATAACTACCCAGGATACATTCATGTTGTAAAACTACTTTTCCTTTTTCTTTCTTTTTTTTTATTTTCTATAAGAAAAATGTTTTTTTTTAATACCCTAGTCATGTTTTGAGTAGACCCTAGGGATTTTTTCCCCCTGAAATTAGAAAGTTAACAGGGATAAGAGTAAAGTCTCTTTCAGCCAGAACCTTCATTTTGTTCTTGACAAGTAGGAAAATGCCTATTTTCCTGGCTTAGCTCTAGAGACTCCATATTATACTTAAGAAGATGCTTTATATAAAAATCCAGCATGTGTTTATGGCTCTCTTTGAAATGGCAGTCATCGTTGTAAGAAAAATATCCCAGAGGTGGTCACGGCAATTCTTCAGCGGTGCCGTACAGGTGTGTGAGTGTTTTCAGCACCGGGAAACGTCAGCAGCTGGGGCTTTGGAGGGATCGTGGGGTGACAGAGAGGCTGGGACCTCATCTGAAGAGCTATGTCTGCTCCTTGAACTCTGGCACTAGGAAATCACAGATCCAGAAAAACGCCTTTATTTATCTAGAATCAGATGTGCTCGAGAATCCCTCAGAATAGGCATCTCAAATTATCTGAAGCAAGGGAAGAGGGAAGGGGGGCAGGTTGCCATGCCACCAAACCACTGTTTATTTGTTGAGGTTTTAACTATTAAAAGGGCTGAGGTTAATATCAACTTCCTCCTTTACCAGCTCCTAAAATTGAATAGAAAGTCATTTTGTCATGGCTACGTGACTCGTTTGGGACGTCATCGCGAACTTCTCCAGGCCAGTCTTAGGGTTCTTGTTCAGTCGTGGGAGGGAAAATGGACACGTGTCCTTTTAAAAGATGGGACCAGCACAGATCCCAGCGAGATGAAGTCGCTGATGCTGGATCGGTCACACATGCTCCCTTAGAGATGGCTCCAGGCAACCCCAGCAAGTCATTTGAAGAATTTGCCTCTTGATTTACCAAAAATGATGAACCACATTTAAGGCTGCATAACCCCTTCCTTTCTGGGGAGGACACCAAATATTTGCTGATGCAGAAAACTGTCAAAACTGTACAAAGAGGCCAGTTTTGTTGTTCTTGCGTACGTTGCCATAAACTCCCAGGCGTGAGGCTTAACTCTTTCACTGGACCGGTTATGGTGTATCTTGACACAGGTCAGGCCTTTTGTATACATTATTCCGCTCTCACCACAATCCTGCGCTGTGGTTTATAGACAGAGCAACTGAACCTCAGAAGCTAACAACTGCCCAGAATCTCCAAGAGCATGAGTGACAGACTTGGACCCAAACCCAGACCTTTCTGGCTACAGAGCCAGGGCTGACGGGGTGGCAGGTTCTCTTGGATCGAGGATCGATTAGACACAGGGCTGACCAGTGTCAAGAAGAATCCCGATCGTCAAAGGGGAGATGGGAGCAGTCCTGGGCCGGACGTTCACTTGGCAGGACTGTGTTGGATGTGTTCTGTAGATGTCGCTAATAATGAGAACCTTAGGGCCAGAGTCTGTGGCGGGCACCTCGATAAGCTGTCTTTTTTTGACCGGTGTGTGTGTGTGGCGGGGGGGGGGGGGAGAGGTACATTTGTTTTGCAACTTGAGGACAAAAGAAAACTCAGAATAATGCATCTCTAGCATGAGGGAATGAGGGACGAGGGGGAGGAGGAGGGCTTCCCAGCCACCCTCTCTCTGCTTTACCAGGGCAACAGCCTGGCCTTCCTGCATGGAGGAGTCTCTCTTGGGGTCCAGTGGGACCAGAGCCTTCTTAATGTCCAAATCCAGGCAACCTCTGATGAGCCTTGAGGAGTGTGGGTGCCTCGCTTTGAGAGTACGGTCAGGCAGTAGAGAGCATGACATTTCCAATTCACCTCCTGAGTTTTAGTAATTCCAGTGATTTTTGTGTTGATAGTGTTTCCCGGAAGGTTGAAGTTACTTTGGAAAGACTATGTTCTCTGGTACTATTGTCTGTGAAGCTTTTTGGAGATATGAATTGACTTTGTTCTCAGCTATTAAACAGGGTTACTTATGTCAGTGTTTACCAGCTGCATTGACAAAAAGGGGAAAAAAAGCCTCTCCACTTCCCTGTAGGAGGAGAGACAAATCCCCTTTCCAGCCTTGGGGGTGAAATATCCAACTGCATAGCACTTTTCTCTACTTCTTCTTCTCTGTCTCTTTCTCTCTTCTTCGTTCTTCTTCTAGAAGTTGAAAATCAAAGTGGGGATGGGGCCTTACCGTCAAACACCAGAAATTTGGGGCACGTGGGTGGCTCAGTGGTTGAGCGACTGCCTTCGGCTCAGGGCATGATCCCAGGGTCCTGGGACCAAGTCCCACGTAGGGTCCCCACAGGAAGCCTGCTACTCTCTCTGCCCATGTCTCTGCCTCTCTCTGTGTGTCTCTCATGAATAAATAAAATCTTAAAAGGCAAAACCACCAGAACTTTGCACGTATAAACCTGTAAGTGGTCATTTAATGGTTACACAACAAAGTGAAATAGGGTGCTAGGAGTCAACTTAGAAGGCACGCTGTAAACGTGAAAAGTGAATGATTTAAAAATAACTCTTATCTAGGTATAGGAGAATTTGAGAGCCTTTCAAGGTTTACAACAAAATCTTCACACGATTGAAATCCAGCCTGAATCAGGTATCCCCATGAATAAAAAATAAATAAATAAGTGCAAGAAGGGCAGGAAGGGAGGGAAAAAGGAAAGAGTGGAATGGGCCCACGATGAAGAGCTAACGCGCGGGGCGGGAGCAAGCCGATGGGCGCCACCGCTGTGTCCTGTCCCTGCTTCTCCCAAGCAGGTGGGCGGTCGAAGTTCATGGAGCTAGAAGCCCTCCGAAGGCAGGAATCGAGAACCCGGTTCAGGTTTTCTGTATTCTTGTTACTGGTGCAATGTAAACTCTAGGTTTCAGGAAAGGTTGAAGAGCTCATA